AACAGGTTGCCCGGAGAAGCTGTGGATGCCCCATCCCTGGAGGTGTTCAAGGCCAGGCTGGATGAGGCTTTGAGCAACCTGGGCTAGTGGGAGGGGTCCCCGCCTGTGGCAGAGGGGTTGGAACTTGATGATCTTTAATGTCCCTTCCAACCCAAACCATTCTATGATTCTGTTATTTATACTGAGGAATGGTGTTTTCTTTAGAGGGCAGATGATGTTCAGGTTTGTATAAATTTTATTTTTAAGCTTAGTTGGAAAAAAGAAAAGAAGCTACAAGATAAGTTTGGAAGTATGATTTCAGGGTCTAGGTATTTTATTTGAAGGAGATTGTGTTCTAGAACTTATTGAGAAATTTTGAAGATACAGGCACAGATGAGTTTTCTGTCAGAGGAGATGCATTTTGCTTCAGAACCTTAATTATTTGTTTTATAGACAATTTGTGATTATGTTTGTGCAGCTGAAGCACCATTTCTGACTCAGGAGTTACGAAGCTGTAAATTATTGATCACTGAATGATGTGCTGTAGGGAGGTACAGCTAATGCTTACCTTATTCTTTTTCATGTTTTCCTAAGCATCTGCGTCTTTAGGTATAATATATATTAGAGAATGAATGTTGGGCAAGATGGAATTGGTCTGGCTCGGTATGATTGGTGTTATGAGTATAGAAGAAGTGTAAAGGGAGAAGCCTAGTGATCTCATGCTCTGTGCCTTGCAATGTGGCTAAAAAATGTGATATTGGTTTTGTCAATCTTGCTTTTGTTTTAGGAATTAAATAAATTGTTGAAGTTATGTAGAAAGGTATTCTTATATTGTGCAGAAACATTGTTATTGTTGTCCAAAGAAGCCATAGTTCCAAGTATTCATTTCCTCTGAAACAATGGTGCTTACCACTTTGTGTGTCTGTGGAATTAATTGTAAGAAAATAATTTTAAGTAACTCATAGAAAGATAAAGGTGAAAGTTGAAAACCTATAAGGAAAAAAAGAAAAAAAGCAGTTGTTAAATTTAAAAACTACTAATTACAATCTGAGGTGATGTAAGATTTTTATAGTCTTGCACTGGTTAAAGTTGCTACATGAATTTGTAGGTCTTGCTTGTGCTAGGAAAACAATGGCTCAAATTTGAGTGATACAGCTTTATGGAAGAGAGCTGTTTTGGAAAACTAGAGACAAAGTTCAATCATTTATACCTCTGTACACATAGTCCTGTTTTCCATTGTGTTTGACATAGTATTAATAAGTTTTAAGAACACTGGTTTCATGAAGGAGCTGGCTGTGTCTTTAAAAATTGTTTTAGTAAAGTCTGAAATGTTATCTGATCCTGGCTTGGCACTCACTAAGTTGAATGAGATTTTGTAGCAGTGATGAGCTGGAGGGATAGGGTCTGAAGTAAACATTAATATTGCTGTGTCAGAATTATTTTTGATCAGAGATGGAAGATGAAGAACATTTCTAGTTGCTATCTTCTATCTCCTGTACTAACCTGCCCTAAGACTTTAAATACAAATGTCTGGTTTTCCCTCCATATCAGAGTCCATTTTGGTACTAAGAGGCTGACAGTGACATGTCAGCTGTACCTGAAGGCTGGTAGAGTGCCAGCTGTTACTCAGGGTAAGCAAATACTGAATGCACATGGCTGTGAGTATATGCCTCATGTTAGAAGGCAGAGCATTCATGGATTTTAAGTAATAATATGTAAGTAATTTAACTTAAGTAGCTTTAAGTCATAATTTTGTCTACAAAAGATTGATGCAACACAGGAATTGAATTTTGTCAAAACGTCTTTGTTGCTTCTGTTCCCATAGTGGTGAAAGGTGATAGTCACTCGCTTGTGCCCTGACAGCGATAGTGGCCTTTTTTGTGGGCAGTCAACGTCAGATAGGCTACCGCTAACATTCACAGCATGCCGTTAACTTTTAACTGCCTTTATTTGAGACAGAATTTAACTAAAACTCTACAGGCAACATTTTTTTTTCCTCATGTCTTACAATTAATTTTATTATCCAAGGGAATTAATGGATGCTTGTTGCTACAGAAGACAGAAATTACACAGTGAAACTGGGTTTCAGGCTGAAATTTAATAAGAAACTATCTACTGTGTTTTGGTGGAAGAAATAATCCTGACTGATGACAGGGAAGACATTGCAAGCAAATGGCAGTTTTTATACAACAGGATTAAGTTCAACTTCCAAGAAGGAACGTAGCCATAATGGAAAACTTGTCATTGTATTCATGGATAAATTTGCAAAATATTCTTATTGAGAATTAAAATAAAGATTGTAGTTGGTGTGGTTGATATGGATCAGGGATTTCATCAATCACCATCTTATTTGCAGTTTTAGCCAGACTGTTTAAATTAGCATAAAACACAGTTTGGTGTTATGTTAAAACTTCAAGCATGCATTAGTTTACTTTTTGGTTTGTAAAAGATGATATAACTGATTGCCATGCCATTTCTCTCTAATGACATTGTGAGGAAAGAAGGATTGATTGTTGCCGAAAGTAGACAGCTGTCTCTTATGTGGAATAATGGAAAAGTCAAAGTTTCAGTTCCATTGGATTGCTCAGCTCTTTGCTGAAGGGTGTACTGACTGCAGTACAGCATGAGGCACAAGTGAACAGTGGGTTTGCGAGGCAGCGTGTGAGCTCTGAGCCTGGCGGGAACTTACGGAGACCACCGTGCAGACATGCTTTGTCTGGGGCTGGTCCGGCTCCAGCAGAGCTGGCAATGAACTGAAATGGTGGAGTCCTGGAAGTAAACTGCCTCCGTGAGGTCTGTTCTGTGTGTCTCTGGACTGTGCTTATTGGCTCTTTTCAGTTTTGGGAATGCAGCGTGGGCAGCTCAGGCTCAGTGTTTCAAAAAAGCAGTTACAATGCTTCAGAGTTGAGGCTGCCTTTGGGAGCAGTGCGGCTGCTGTGCTCGTGGACTGTGATTACAGACGACTGTCTTGGCCTGTGATGGTCCTATGCCAGGCGTTCAGTTCAGGTGTCTTACCATGTGTGGCACAAGTATTCTGCCTACCGATGACTGAGTGCCGGCTATATTAAAGCAATAAATAACAAGCAGGAAAAGTATAATGTATGGTACTGCTGTGGGTTTTTCCTTGTCTTTTTTTTCCCTTTCTCCATTTGCTTGTATTTATAAGGTATCCCCAACTAAAGAACTGAAATTCTGGAGTAGTGAAACAATGTTCATTGATATGAGCATGATACAGTCTCCTTGCTCTCTTCTCATGTTTTGGCATTTTTAGTTGGCATGCTGAAGTGGATTCTGCCATTATAGTGTTCCTCTCAATTTTTGCTTCACAGTTGACATGTTTCCATTATGAACAAGATTAAAAAATCAAGATTTTCTCTGATTGTTAGTTAGCTATACTAATCCTAAGAATGATGTGGAACAATAGTAGATTGAAAGAAAAATAAAGTGGTTGGATTAGCTGGTAGTGCTGGATGGTAGCATGGTATCCACCCAGAATTTTTCATATTTCTGTTGATTATGACAATTTTTTGTAATCAAATAGGTTTTCTAATTCAGTTTAGAGAGAAGAGGTAGTGCTCTTTTATGTGAGGGAACATGCAGAATTGTAACACATCCATTTAGGATTTGCTTATACTGCTTTGTTGTTTTCCTTGCATCAGGCAGTACAACTGATGTGTTGTCATTCTAATTGTGTATGCAGCGTTTAATTTTTCCTCAGAAATACTTTGAGAGCACATAGCCATAGAGCTTTGCTTTTCTGTATTTTTGTTCTGAATGAAGAAACTAATTAACTGTAACCTGACTTCTTTTTGTAGCACAGAGAAACTAATTCATAAAGACAAGTTATCAATTTTGGGTTGAATAATTGCATGTAATTCTTGGAAATTAGATGTTTTGCTTTGTCTTTCTCTTTGTGGTCTTGCAAGTGCCAATATGGATAATGAATCTTTCCTGGCAGATAAATTTTTATAGGAAATCTTTGCTTCCTTTCATAAAACTAGTACTTTTCCTTTCAGAAAAGTAGTCTGAGACATTCCCTGAGGGATGGTACTCATTGATGAGGCATGTTTTGTAGATTAGGAGGTGAATATTAGAATAAGCAGGGAGAGGAAACAAAGCTTGTGTACTGTTCTGTGCCCATTCTCCTTCTGTTTGGTAATAATGGAAACTGCTTGTGCATTCCCTTGTGCTCTCCAGCCCTGGTCTGATCTATCAGTGTTTAGATAATCTTCTGTTCAGCTGCAGTGTAAGGCTCAGTTTCCTTTAACACTTTTTTGTTATCCTCTGTGTACCTAAGCTTTTATGGGGGAGAAATAGGGAGAGAGTCTCTTTTTTTCTTTTTTATTTTTATTTATTTTTTAATGGACTCTATTTCTTCTCCACCTACCCTCTTTATCTTTTGACTCTTCAGCAGGGACTTTTGTCCTATTCAAAAAGTTTGGAAGAAAGAGTCCCAGTGGCTTCTGTGACATTAGCTTTGGTTTAGCAGTCTTTATAGCTGAAAAGAGACAGTGGAATATATCATCCAAAGCAGAGATGAGAATGGGCAGATAAAAGTTTAGTGATTGTTAATGAATTGTTGAGTCTTCCATGTTGAGTTGTAATACATCGAAAGGAAAGGCAAGACACAGCAATTCAGTGTCTGAGGAAGTGGTAAATGCAGTGTGTCTGACTCTGCAAACAGTGAACTAATGCTTTGGGTAATCTTATCCTATTAAACTCTGTGGTTCTAAATATAAAAAAAAAATCTCTTCATAGCTATACTACTTTTGTCATATTCTGGGTGTATCTTTATTATGTGGGAAAACGACCACTAAATATATATTTCATAGAATCATATTTGCTTATGAGTTTAAATTCATGGCCACAAGTGAACGTTTGAAAATTAAAAAGAATTAGGTATGACAGGGATTTGTAATACATTTAGCTATATACAAAGAGGTAATATTGCAACATCTTTGTTCACAGTTTTTTGATTTTTTTTTTTTAAATTTGTATTTTGATTTACTTTATCAGAGAAAGCAACCAGTGAGATGAACACTGCAGAAGACTGGGGTCTTATCTTGGACATCTGTGATAAAGTTGGGCAGTCACGCACAGGGTAAGTAACTTTAGAATTTCTTCCCCAAACTTTTTAAATTTTGTTATTTCAGTCTCAGATGAGAGAAATTAAATTTTTGTTATCTTGTATAGACTTCTGCAAAAGCTCAATTTAACTTAAATTTATTACAAGTAAAAGGAAAATGTATGGATTTTCTGCTCAAATATTTTGCAGTTCTTCCTTGGAGATAACAGCTGATCTGTTAAAATTAGGACTCATGTACAGCAGCTTTTCACTAACGTAACAGAATAAATTAATTGATATGTTTTAGCAGTGTCACTGTAAACCTAGGAGACTTCATGAGGGATTTTTCTTATAGAATCATAATCTAGGTTGGAAGTGATCTCCAGAGGTCATCTAGTCCAACCCCCCAGCTTGAAACAGGTCTAATTAGATCCAGTTGCTCAGGACTGTGTTGAGTCTTCAGTGCCTCTAAGGTCAGAGTTTCCACATCTGTGGGCAACATGTTTCAATATTTCAGTATTTAACTATCCTCACAGTAAGTAAATAAATGAATAATCCTACAATCTGATTACAGTTTCCCTTGTTTCAACTTGTCTGTTGCGTCTTGTCCTATGACTCTGCAGCTCCAAGAGAGAGTCTGGCTGCATCTTCTATGTATTCTCTGATTGATTAGTTGTAGAAAGCAGTAAGGTCCCATTTTAGTCTGCTCTTCTCAAAACTGAAAGCAGCTGTCGATCTCTCCTTGTGTATGGCTCTCCTTTGACCATCCCTGCAGCCCTTCATATCTTCCTTGCACTGGGGAGCTCCAAACTGGACAAAGTACTCCTGATATGATCTTACAAGTTCAGAATGGAGAGGAAGGATCACTTTCCAGGCCCTGCTGGCTGTGCTGACCTCTTGTTTGATCCAGGATGCGGCTGATTGTCTTTGCTGCCAGGCTGCAGTGCTGATACCTGTCACCCAGTAGGACCTGCAGATCCTTTCCTGCAGAGCTGCTTTTCGGTGGTGAGCTCCAGGCCTTTACTGGTGCAGACCATCTAAAATGCAACACCTTGCGCTTGCTCTTTTTGAACTTGATGAAGGTCCAGTCTGTCCATTTCTCCAGCCTGTTCAGGTCCCTCTGAATAGTAGCCTTGCCCTCGAGCATATTGGTTGCTTCCCCCCCTCCCCCTGCCCCGATTTGCAGTTGTCAGTAAAGTTGCTGAGGGTGCACTGCCTCCCATCATTCAGTATAATTTGAGTTAACAAATAAAAAAACAGTTTAAAGAATTATTGCAGTTTATCTATAATGTTTTTATTCAGTGTAGTATTAGGCTTTGGAAATATTTTAAATACATCTTCTCCAAGCATTCCCTGTAACAATTCAAGTAAGGAATAGCCTCAGAGAGTTTTGTCATTGCTGCTGTTTAGTGAAAGGTTTCTCTGAGAATGGTGTGTATTGCCTTGTAAAGCTTCGGGAAACAGTATGAGATGTCAGACAGCAAATTCCCACCTGGGACTTCTGTTTCAAAGGGCAGGTTTGCAAATAAGCTTATTCCTTGGGATTAGGGATGGTCTTCAGAGGAGTAGTTATAAATAACATGGTATATCGAGACTTCTGTGCTGTTGTGGATAACTGTAGTTAAGATAACAGCTGGCAAGTTGTTGTTTCGTATTAGTCTATATATGTAAAACTGCATTTCTGCTCCTTGTTCATGTTGATGCTGAGCCTGCAACAATAACTGTATTATTGAAGGCTTCAGTATTCTATTTATTCACTGAAAGCATTTCTATGGGCAAGATTTAGTCTCACAGCAACTTAGCCTGAGCAGTGCTCAATTCTGTAGCTGCAAGAGACGGCTTCTTGGGAGTACAGGCAAAGCTGGAGATGTTCTGGTAATGTGTATCTAAATTTCTCTGGAACAGCTGGAATTTAGTTTATGATTTGTGTTTTTTGTTTGTTTTTGGTTTGGGGGGTTTTTTGTTTCTGTTTTGTGGTGGGTTTTTTTGTTTTTTTTTTTTTTTTTTTTTTTTTTTTTTTTTTTTTGTTTGTTTTTTTTTTTGTTTTTTTAATAAAACAGTGGTTTTATCCTGACTGTGACTTTAACCTTTGTAATATTTACCCTGCTTGTAATTGGCTGCCACCTGACTCATTGCTTACATTCAGATTCTGTTAAAACTTGCTGATAGTGGGTTTTCTTTGTTTTGATGGATTATGTCATGCCATAGCAAGGTAAAGCAAGACAAAGTTCCCCATTAAGAAGTGTAAATCAGATATGGTACACTGTTTGAAATTCTCCTGCAGTTTAAGTTCCTGTGGCAAGGATGCCAGTGGTCTTAACTGGGATCTGCGTTAATCTTTTAACCAATTCTGGTCCAACACAAGATGTCTGTTCTTGTCAGAAGTTTAGAATATAAAATCTCCGTTTTATGGGTTTACTCTGTACCAGTCTGCAAGCTCCATTGCATGCCTGCTGCATTTTAGATGTAGATCGTTTTACACATGAAGCCATGGTAGACTAGAAAGACTAGTCATCATTAAGTGGTGCTCTTTGTCCTGCAATGTTACATGGCACATTGTCTTGTTTAGGTCTGCAAACAGTTGTTTGCATCCAGAGTGATTGTTGGAAACCTGTAGGCTACAAAGGTGCTACATCCTTTCTTAAGACAAATTAGTTACAGTCCAGTAGCAGAATTGCTACTGTTAGTTTTTATGTTACATTGCAATACCTTCATTACACAGAATCCCCAATAGTTACACATTTTATCTTCCTTTAATCCAACAAACTAAAACGGGTTTTAGCAAGTTAGGATTCCACTGAATCTCTCTCTTTGACTATATTTTTGTGAATTTCAAAACCTAATGGATTAGAGTTGATGCCAGAATTTTCATAGAAAGCACTGGAAAGACAGTAAATTCAGTAATATTTTTCATAATATGCCTTTTTACAATAGCATATATAATGTATTGCCATATGTAGTGTGGAATTAACTTGCTACTTTTTGCATGTTTCACATATCAGGTTCTTAAGATGATCTAAGATTTGTCTAGCTATGAGACAATCAGCACATATTTTAAATGTCTGAATTTACTTTGTGAATTCAAACAGCTCAGCAGTTGTGTACTACATTTTTTGCATCCCTTTTTTTTTTGTGAATATTGGTGGTAGTTCAGTGAGCAAGTTGCCTTTTCAACATTAAAACATGATTGAAACAAAGGTTTTATCATTAGAGGCAATCTTTTTTTCTGTTTTTATACAACATTATTGAAAACTTATGTATTTTAAAAACTTACCGTATTTGACAGGCATTTAAAATCATCTGACTATAGGAAAGGTACAGAATTTTGCATAGTGTTGGTTTTGTGCAATGAAAATACTTACACAACTGAATCTATAGTTTATCAGCTCTGACTAAAATAACATAAAATTTGAATAATTCATTAAACAGAATAAAAGGGAAAATTAAAGGCCACATATGGTATATTTTAGCATGAAACGCCCCACCTTCCTCATTAATTTCAGTGCTGGCCAGTTCCTGAGTCTAGTTCTGTTTGCATTTGTCTTTGAGATGGTTGTATTTTTCGTATTAACTTAATGAGACATATCGGTCTTTAAGACACCAATGATGGAGAAAATAAGAATGTTAATTGTAGCACTCTTATTGGGGTTGGGGTGGGTATTGAAAAGTTGTCATTGAGTAATGGTTTGCCTATATTGCTGCTTGCCTAATTTTGTCCTGACTCCTTACGGATTAATCACTGCCTCAGTGAGTCAGTATTCTGGTAAGCTGATTCTTCCTTGGTTGTTTTTGTGCCTGTTCATACAAGAGAGAACAGTAAAATTGCTTACTGGATAGTCTTCCAAACTGCCTTCTATTTTTTTTCACGTCAAGTTACCCGATCTCAGTAGCCTTTTACGTAGTTATTGCAGTGTATGTCTAACAGGCTGACCAGGAAGCTCTTTGACTAGCTTGTTTCTAAAGGAGCAAGGAGGAAAATTGGGTCACCTGTGTAGTCTTGAGCCCTGCACTCAGTTACCTTAGACTGTAAATGAACAATAAATTCCTGAAAGTATATAAAATGGTTTGTGCAGAGTAGTATTTTAGATTCCAATTGCTGTTAATTTTGTCTTTCTTAAATAAAATATAATCAAATACATTATTTTTTACTCTCTATTCCCCTTACTGATTTGTTATTCTCACTCACTGTGCTGCCTCTGAAGTTTTGATTGTAGAATCATTGGAGCAGAACTGCGGCCCCATATTTGCATAGCGTGGTCTGGAGAGATGCCTAATAAATAGATAGAATTCTGTTCTTGCCGGGTGCATGACTTCACTCTGATTTTTGTATAGTGCTTGTAATTTACAAACTACATTGTATTATGAATTAATTTGAAGTAAAAATAAGAATTACAGTTCTGCCTACAATAGGGATTCTTAGTCTGTGTGACTAAACGTTTGTAAGCTTGGAATTTTTTTTTGGTGTAGGTAAAATAAAAATAATTTTTGTAAACAATTGAGAATGTTAAAACATTAACACTTAAATATTTATAATTTCTGTTAAATATATGCAAAAATAGCTTTTTTTGAAAGACATTTTAATGGGTTACTGAAGGGTTTCTTGGTTTTTTAGGTTTTTTTTTTTTAACCTTTTCAAAATTGTACTTGATACATGTGGAAGATCATTTGGTTTTGAGGCTTTCTTGTTACTTTATTGTTTTTTAATAAGACTTTGGTTTCCTTAATAGAAAAATCTTAGGCTAATGGCCCTGTTCCTGAACTGCTAAGCTCTTGATCCTGCATGCTACTTTTATAAATACTGGCCTAATAATGAAGGGACGTGCACTTTTCTGTGCTTGCGCTCATATCATATTGATAATCCTACTCAGAAATTAATGGTTAAAAAAAGCAGTTATTTCCAAAAATTTCAGCGTGTGTTCTTTCTTAGTTAAAGTGAACATATGAGAAATCTTGAATAATGAATAGATAACAGGCAGTGCTTGCCTTATAGTCTTCATTTGTAATAATTGGTTATGTGAAGGTATACACTGAGTGATATGTAGTCTTGCTATGTGTCAGCATTTTCTATAATTAGTACTACTAAATATGAAGTGGACATTTCTGTAAAATGTAGACACTGACAAATATAGTATAGCCAAGCCGTAGTGTAACTTATACCCAAGTTTCATGTTAGTTCTTGGATATCAGTTCAACAGAAAAATAATTTTGCTTCCAAAATAAAAATGTACTATAACTACTCTAGAAATGCATAAAATCTTAGTTAAAATTTACCTGCTCTTTTCCTCTTTCCC